AAACAAGGGTATTTCACAAGCCCGAGAAGCCTGGCAAACCTTCCAAGAGGAGACTTGATGAACATTGCTAGGGCTGAAGGGCTGAACGCTGTCCAGCACCAAACCTCCATACTCAGCTTGGAAACTGGGGGGCCCCAAGATGCAAAAGGGAAGGTTTGCAGAGGGGTCAGCCTGCCCAGCTCAGCAAGAGGAAGAGCACAGGCAGCAAGGAGCCAGAATCACGCTGTACATCACTTGCAGTGAAGTGTATCACAGCAGGGCTACCTCAGCTCAAAACCACCCAGGAGATCCACTCACCAACCACATGATGGGCATTAACAGCTTCCACAGAAAGAATGGCAAAATTCTGTAGGTCATGTTAGTCATAACGAGACCGGGACAAACAACACTGGAATACAGACCCTGCAGAGAAGAAACCAAGTCAGTGTGCAATTACACAACAGTTAAAGAATGGATGATACTCCTTCCCTCCCTGTACTCCTCAGTAAGAAAGTGAGCATGAGTACATAGACCAGATAATAGATACTCTCCTCTCATAAGTTACCAGCAATTAGACGTAGTGATTTTTGAGAGGTGTCAAATCTGTGCTCATTACAAGCTCATGGGATAGGAGATGCACCCTCCTGACACATCACAGCCTCACAGTGCAGTCTCCCTGCAGCTCAGCAGCCACAGCAAACATCCCACAAATTACAGCTCACTCAGACCAAAGGGTCACTCAGACCTCTTATCGCCTTTGAGATAAGAGTTCAGCCTTCTAGGTCTAAACCATTTTCTCCTGAAGTGTTTGAGAAGAGTGCAACTGGTACCACTGGACTAAGGCTGTGGCTTGCCAACAAAATTCCATCAATCCCCAGTGATAGGGAAGGCAGGTTGGTTGTACATGTCAGTGTGACAAACCTGAACAGCAGCATGGAGCCACTAGCAGAGCCTGCACCTCAAGTGCTTGCAGGCAACACTGCCAGAGCAGTGTTCTGATAGGCAGGGACACTCGAAAAAAAGTAGAGGCTCCTTGCTCTTTAAGACCAATTCTTCAGTCTAAAGAGACAGAGCTTGCAAGGCAGGGACCGCTCCTAAAATCTTCTGGTTTTAGAACCCCAGAAGAAATCTCTTTGGCAGATTCTCTGCCACCTACGCCACCAGTTCAACCTCAACCATGTTTTGTTCTTACATGTGCATTAAGGAATGCACCAGGTTGCTGTGAGTGAATGAATTCAAGCAGGTAACTACAATGTAATGATAATTACAAACAGAAGGAGCTCATTAGTTTTTTTCAGAAAGACAAACCCCATCAGCACCTGGTTATTATATTTCCTGTTCAGAACCACGCTTGTCAGGTCAGTAGCATATTTAGAGGAACTGTATGATTCCTGCCCCTTGGCATGCTGATAGTCAGAGAGGCTGAAGGCAGACTCCCTGGCATTGCTGGAGGAGGTCCAGATGAGTCGTGAGGGCTTCTCGTTACCGCAGAGTAGAGACTGAAGCTGACGAACCTGAAAAAGAATTGTTAACTCATTTAACACAGCAATTTTCCAGTGTTAGGGTATGGCTTTACAGTACTTTAAACCTGTGAGCTTATCTCAGCTTTCTCAGCCAGCCCTTCCCAGGCTAGCCAGAAGGAGACACTTCTCAGGTGTAACTTCAGGCCAGGGTGCACCAGGAACATTTAAAAGCAGCTGTCATTCTCTTTCACAGCTCAGTTGAGCACTTTGGAATTTCATACAGCCAAGCCTTAGTATTTACCCTGGACAGAGAATTACATATGATTTACCTCTATCTGCTGGCTCACTAAAGTAACCTCAAAATTATATTAACCCTTGTAACAAAAGTCAACGTTTTTTTGCTATTTAAACAAATCTCAAGGCCTTTGCCCTGTCACTCTCTATCTGTCAGGCAGCATCCCGCATCAGAATCCAAACCTATGAGAACCGATTCACCAGGACTGCCTGGACCCATCCCCAGCCACATCAAACACCAGACTGAGGGCTCGACCCTCATATGCAGCCTCACCAGGATAAAGTGCCCGAAGAGGTTGGTAGTAAACACCTCCTGAAGTCCATCTCCAGTCAGCCTGTCCGTCTGGGTCATCATGCCTTCAGCAGTGGTTAGCATGTGAAGCATCTTCCTGGAAACCAAGGACAGGAATTAGCAAGGAACACTGCCCAGAGCCACCTACTTCAGACTGAGCCCCTACTTCAGTCCTTCAAAATTAACCCCCACCTCACAGGCTCCACACAGACTCTCTAGTTTCACCTTCAAGGGCTCTATCAACCCATGAAAAAAAGAGATGGAAAAGTCCCAGCTCCTACTGTCTCAGTATTGACTAGACCAGAGGAGACTTGTCCCTTCCTTCACTTTAGCACTAAAGCACCATTAAAAAAAAAAAAAGTCTTGCTCTTCCATTTCACGCTCAATTAACCAAATCAAGATCCAGCATGGAAGTAAGCCCTAGGGCCATGTCTAAAGCAGGCAAGGAAACCAGTTTGGCCTCTATGCTCAACACCCCAACAGCTGTATCAGACTCAACACAAGTCACTGTGCTCCCCAGCTCAGCTTCCCTGTGTTGCTGACAGAATAATGATGCTTTTACCAGCACCCACCATTAGCTTCAGAAAATACTGTGATCCACAACTGTGAACAACTACAAAAACCTATAGTGGGATCAAAACAACAGTAAGAAGACTCAGTATGAGTAAACTTCACCTCCCCAGCAACACAGCAGCATTTCTCACACAGTGCCAGAGACTGCAGGCTTTGGGTGACCTCTTGCCCTTCCCCTGCACCCAGTGGGCATCACACCGGAGATCAGAAGCAGCACTAGGTGCCTTGGACTACCCCAGCACTCCACTCAGCTGCCAAGCCCACCCCAAGCAAGACTGTGCATCCCATAGGGATGTGTTCTGTGTCACACTGGGGAAGGGAGACAGGGTCTTCTACCCCAGACTCAAGGGCACATCTTCGCTGTGCCAGCATCCCAGGCTTCCCACAAGCCCCTGCTGGACCCCTCCCACATCTCCTACCCAGTGAGCAGACCCTGCCAGAGGGCTTTGAAGTTCACTTGCGGGTTGGGCATGATCCCAGCATTGAGGTAGACAAAGTCCAGGCGCTGAAACCTGCATAGAGAAGAGCAGAGGGGTAAGGGCTAGAGCGGGGACAGAAGGGTCCGGGGGATGGGCTACAGGCAGGAGGGGTCCGGTGGGACAGAGGACAGAGACCACCATACCTGCAGCGGAGCTCTTGGGCGGCACGCAGGACGGAAGCCAGGTTGCTCAGGTCCACTTCCACGGTGGAGACCTGGGCGGCGGGGTGGGTGGCCAGGATGAGGTCCCGCGTGGCCTCGCTCTTCTGCACGCTGCGGCACGCGATGCACAGGTGGATGCGGCCATCCTCCTCCAGCAGCCGATGGCAACAAGCGCCAGTCCCCACGAACCGCTGCGGACGGGAC